AGTTCATGCATTGATAACACAGAGGCAGAGTGTGATGGAAGCCAAGTGCAAGTGCTATTACAGTTTCTTGGTAGCCCAGCCTCTACACTGGGGAATGAATTGTTAAAGATTTTTATGGCAAATGTATTACAGCCATATTCCTAATACAGAGTTGGAAACACTGTTGCATTTAAACACCACCACTTGCTTGTAGTGATAGCCGGATCTGCAGGTTCTCCAGTTACTGGGGGGTGGGGAGGGGCAGTCATGCTGTACAATAATGTGACTCCTTGGAAGTAACACAAGGGGTAAGAAAACTAACACATTATTAAGTTTATATTAAATTTCAGTCATCTTACGCTTGTGTAAGGATAGGCTCTCCACTTGAATGCACGTCTTGCACACGATATTCTATGTATATTTATTGAAAATAAATCCACCTGTAAGTGGACCTGCCCAGTTCAAACCTGTGTTTATGAGAGTCAGCTGTATTTGTTTCAAGGTTGGTTTGTTTCTGAAATGACTCTGTTACACACACAGGTGTAAAGGAGAGATTAAGCAATGTCTTTGTCTTTGTCTTTGTCTTCATTAAACAGTGTCTAATGTATTAAGCAATATCTTTGGTCCTCTTTGCATATACGTTAAATAAACAGGGTGACAATATACAGCCTTGACGTACTCCTTTCCCAATTTGGAACCAGTCTGTTGTTCCATGTCCGGTTGTAACTGTTGCTTCTTGACCTGCATACAGATTTCTCAGGAGGCAGGTCAGGTGGTCTGGTATTCCCATCTGTTTAAGAATTTCCCGCAGTTTGTTGTGATCCACACAAAGACATTAGCATAGTCAGTAAAGCAGAAGTAGATGTTTTTCTGGAACTCTTGCTTTTTTGATGATCCAATAGATGTTGGCAATTTGATCTCTGGTTTCTCTGCCTTTTGTAAATCCAGCTTGCACAGCTGGAAGTTCTTGGTTCACGTACTGTTGAAGCCTGGCTTAGAGAATTTTGAGCATTTCTTGGCTAGTGTGTGAGATGAGTGCAATTGTGTAGTAGTTTAAGCATTCTTTGGCATTGCCTTTCTTTGGGATTGGAATGAAAACTGACCTTTTCCAGTCCTGTGGCCACTGCTGAGTTTTTCAAATTTGCTGACATACTGAGTGCAGCACTTTCACAGCATCATCTTTTAGGGTTTGAAATAGTTCAACTGGAATTCCATCACCTCCACTAGCTTTGTTCGCAGTGATGCTTCCTAAGGCCCACTTGACTTCACATTCCAGGATGTCTGGCTCTAGGTGAGTGATCACCCCATTGTGGTTACCTGGGTCATGAAGATCTTTTTTGTATATTTCTTTTGTGTATTCTTGCCACCTCTTCTTAATATCTTCAGGTTCTATTAGGTCCATAGCGTTTCTGTCCTTTATTGAGCCCATCTTTGCATGAAATGTTCCCTTGGTATCTAATTTTCTTGATGAGATCTCTAGTCTTTCCTATTCTATTGTTTTCCTCTGTTTCTTTGCATTGATCACTGAGCCAAGGCTTTCTTATCTCTCCTTGCTATTCTTTGGAACTCGGCATTAAAATAGGTATATCTTTCCTTTTCTCCTTTGCCTTTAGCTTCTCTTCTTTTCTCAGCTATTTGTAAGGCCTCTTCAGACAACCATATTGCTTTTTGTCTTTTCTTTTTCTTGGGAATGGTTTTGATTACCGCCTCCTGTACAGTGTTATGAACCTCTGTCCATAGTTTTTCAGGCACTCTTATCAAATCTTATCTCTTGAATCTATTTGTCACTTCCACTATATAATTGTAAGGGATTTGATTTCAGTCATACCTGAATAGCCTAGTGGTTTTCCCTACTTTCTTCAATTTAAGTCTGAATTTGGCAATAAGGAGGTCATGATCTGAGCCCCAGTCACCTCCCAGTCTTGTTTTTGCTGACTGTATAGGACTTCTTCATCTTTGGTTACAAAGAATAAAATCAGTCTGATTTCAGTGTTGACCATCTGGTGATGTCCATGTGTAGGTTATCTCTGTGTTGTTGGAAGAGGGTGTTTGCTGTGACCAGTGCTTTCTCTTGGCAAAACTCTGTTAGCCTCTGCCCTGCTTCATTCTGTACTCCAAGGCCAAATTTGCCTGTTACTCCAGGTATCTCTTGACTGCCTTCATGTATGGATGTGAGAGTTGGACCATAAAGAAAGCTGAGTGCTGAAGAATTGATGCTTTTGAACTGTGGTGTTGGAGAAGACTCTTAAGAGTCCCTTGGACTGCAAGGGGATCAAACCAGTCAATCCTAAAGGAAATCAGTCCTGAATATTCATTGAGGACTGATGCTGTAGCTGAAGCTCCAATACTTTGGCCACCTGTTGTGAAGAGCTGACTCATTTGAAAAGACCCTGATGCTGGGAATGATTGAAGGCAGGAGGAGAAGGGGATGACAGAGGATGAGATGGTCAGATGGCATCACCGACTCAGTGGACATGAGTTTGAGTAAACTCTGGGAGTTGGTGATGCACAGGGAAGCCTGGTGTGCTGCAGTCCGTGGGGTCGCAAAGGGTTGGTCACGACTGAGCAGCTCCACTGAACTTGGTCTTCTCTGGTTTTATCAGATTGTTTTTTTGACTGTCAGCACTGCCCCACCCCCCCCACCCCCCGCCCCCTGCCGCCCCCAAGCAACGATGCCGTTTCAAACACTGGTTCCTCCGCCAGCGGTTTGACAATGACTGCCTCCTCTGACACCCCGTGAGAAGTCATTCGGCAGATGTTTATGGAGTGTCTGCTACATGTCAGGGCTGTGCCGGGGGTGGGAGAGAGTCCAGGAAAAGGACCCTGTCCTGCTCATCCTGCACCTCACACTCCAGTCATGTGGGAAGGCAGACTTATTTATGTACAAGGTGTGTAGTTTGGGGAAGGCCTGGGGGTGGTGGGCCATGTGACTTGTTAAAAGCACAGACTTGGGTGTAGTGATTTCAGTGATTCCTGGCCTGATTGTTAGCTTATGGAGGCTTCTTTAGCCTTGGGTCAGTCATTCAGTTTATTTATATTTGTTAGTTGGAATATACTTCTAGAAAAATGGTTCAGTTGGGGATATTCTGGGGTTTTGAAGCTCAGTATATATTGCCTTCCTTTTGGTGAGTCCCTGCCCCCTGGGTTGGCTCTGGACCTCGCTTTGGCTCTGGCAAGCCCTGGAGTGGAGGTCTTGCATGCCCACTTGTTCTGTGTCTTGAGTAGAACCTGGGAGTGCCCTCAGATGGGTCTTGCCTTTTAAAAACTGACCTGATGCATCTCAGGGCCAGGCCTTGCCCCACCTCCTATGACACCAGCACCTTAGATCCTTGGAGACCGAGCAGTCAGACGTGATTTAAGTGGGGTTGACTTGCTTTTTTTTTGTTTTTTTGTCTTCATAAACCTTGTTCATTTACTGTGTGCTCAAAAAAAGTAAAATTGGCAAATGGTTAATATATATTTAAAAATCATAAAATTAGTTTGTTAAGATGTGGAATGTATTAATTACGTAGAAAATTTAGGACTTCTCCGGTGGGCTAGTGGATGGGAATCCACCTGCCAATGCAGAGGACCCAGGTTTGATCCCTCGTCCGGAAAGCTCCCACATGCTGCAGGGCAGCTAAGCATGTGAGCTGCAACTACGGAAGCCCGTGCTCTGCGGCAAGAGAAGCCGCCGCAGCAGAAGCCGGTGCGTGGCCGTAGGGAGTCGAGTCTGCTCGCTGCAGCCGGAGAGGGCCCTCCCGAAGCACCGAAGACCCAGCGCAGCCAAAAGCAGCTAGCTAACTAAATAAATGCTCCCCTGGTGGCTCAGACGGGAAAGCATCTGTCTGCAGTGCAGGAGACTCGGGTTCGATTCCAGGGTCGGGAAGATCCCCTGGAGAAGGCAATGGCGACCCACTCCAGTACTCTTGCCTGGAGAACCCCATGGACAGAGGAGCCTGGTGGGCAGCAATCCATGGGGTTGCACAGAGTCAGACACGACCGAGTGACACTTTTCAAATAAATAAATGAACAAAAATACATTTAAAAAATTGGGTATCAGGCATCTTGAAATAATTCATAAAATAGGATGAATTAATAAAGTGACTTTCAGCGCAGCTAGGAAGTGTTTCTGTTCGTTGTAAACATTACTGCAGAATGCAGGCCCTTTTCCGGGCCTGACCCATCGAGGCCGGGAGCCTGCTGAGAAGGGGGTGCTCAGGAGTGTTTCTAGGGTTGCATTTCCAGCAGATGGTTCCGAGTGGTGGTCCCCCTCCCCGCTTTGTTTTTTTTTTTCTTTTTTTAAAAAAATATATTTAGGAGATTAGCAAGTGCTTTTGGAACAGATAGTAGTATTTTGGCATTCATTTTCGTTAAGACTTTTGGAATCCATCATACGAAGCATCTTGACAGAAAGTGGGCTCGCTCTGCAACGAGATGATAAAGAGACGCTTCTGTCAGATATTCTCAGGAGGTGGCAGGAGCTTTTCTAGACATATGCCATGACATTTTAAGAAAATTATATAATTTCCTAAGCCCCCTAAAAGTTCACGAAGTTTGCGAAGTAAGTACACTTTGCTGAGGCAAAGAATTAGAGCCTGCATATTGAGATGTGGGCTCCCTTTTTCCATTCACTGGCTGTTTGGCTTTGGGCAGCTCAGTTATCTTCCCAGCGCCTCGTTTTTTCTCACCTACAAAATGGGAACAATATTTACTTCCTTTGTAGGATTCTTGTAAAGGTTAAAAGAGTATGAGAGCACCTTAAAAATCATTAGGGATACACAGATGTGATGTACGTATGAATATATGTGTGCAACAGTTTTTCCAGTAGAAACAAGCATGTTTTACCTTTTTGTTAACTGCCTTCTTATCTGAAATTAGTATTTGATTCTTAGTCACCACCAGGTTTTTATTTTTAATTTCACGGGGGTATTTTGAGTCTTGATATTTTAGGACTTGGAGAGCTCGTAATAAAAGACATTAATGGAACACAGAGGAGAGTATTATTATCTAAACCTGTGTTGATGACTTTGTGCTTTTAGGTATACCAAGCTTGGCTACGCAGGCAACACAGAGCCACAGTTCATTATCCCTTCATGTAAGTAAAGCTCCGCCCTTGGTTTATAAAGGGTTGTGTTTCTCATAACTGTTCTAAGCATTCTGATTCTGGTTTTCAAGGTATGTTAATTTACTTGCCATCTCCTTTTAGAAGATTGTTCTGGTTCCTGGGGAGTTAGTCATCTGGCTGCCGAGAGTTGCTATTGGCTATAGCTGCCACCTAATTCTCACACCGCCCCGCACCCCCCCCACCCCCGCCCCGCCCAACACACACCCCAGTCCTCTGATTTTCTTGTGATTCCGTCCTTTGTCACAGTCACTGGAGTTTCAGCTTGGGTGGGCTTCCCTGGGGGCTCAGTCAGTAAAGAGCCTGCCTGCAGCGCAGGAGACCTAGGTTCGATCCCTAGGTAGGGAAGATCCCCTGGAGAAGGGAATGGCCACCTACTCCAGTATTCTCGCCTGGAGAATCCCATGGACGGAGGAGCCTGGTGGGCTACAGTCCACAGGGTCGCAGAGAGTCGAACACGGCTGAGCGACTTCACTTCCTTTTCACTTTTCAGCTTGGGCCGTTGCCTCCTGAATGTAGCCCTTTTTATCTGATTGCACTCATTGGGCCTGTTACTTCCTGAGACATCCTGTCTCCAAATAGAGTCACTTAGCTCGTTCAGTCATACATGTCTGAGCTGCTTACAAGAAGTGTGCCTGTTCCATAAGCTTAATTGGTAATTTTAAGTAAGTATAGTTTTATTAATTTAGCACTTTGGTGAATTATCTGTTGTATTACACTGTTCTCTTTATTGAAGGACTTTTTTTTTTTTTTAAACTGAGAGGCCCAGTGACTTTTACTGTGTTCGGAAGTGTCCTGTTGTTTTAGTCGGTAGAGCATGCTAGGGGAAGAAACGTCCTCACCTTTTGGCCAGCGTGCCTCCTGCCCACTCTTTACGCACAGTGGTTGTCTCCAGGGCAGAATTCTTCTCTGAAACTGTGTAACTGCTGGGTTATTATTCGGAGACTGTTGACCGGAGAGTCAGGTTATGTCAGGCAGGAGTGAGGTCCTGCTTCCTAAATGTAGCCCCTCATGAGGTAAGTTGTGCTCTTAGGAATGGTCAGCGGTTCCGGGCTCAGGACGTTTGAGTCGCAGGCTCTGGCACTAGCGTGGAGCGCGGCGGGCAGCCCAGCAGAGCCGGGGGAAGGGGCTTCGTCACGAGTATTGTTAGAGGGAGACTAAGGTCTTTTTGGCGGAGATGAGTATTCACATCACCAGAAAGTGCACCCAGATTCCTTGAGAAAACGTCACTCACCTCATTCCAGGTCCATCCTTGCTGGGTTACCGATCACGCGTTTGATTTTCTAGGTCTCAGTACCTGATTTCTGTGATGGGGCGTCATGATTGGCCTGCCGCATCCTCATCTTAAATTGATGATTTGCTGTATTCGTTTGCTAAGGCTGCCGTAACGTAACACCACAGCCTGGAATTCCTGACAGCAGAAATTAAACGGGTCGCACAGTGGAGGCTCTGAAGTCCCAGATCTAGGCGTAGGCTGGGTTGGTCTCCGTGAGGCCTGTCTCCTCCGCTTGCAGGTGGTGCCTCTGACCGTGGTCTCACGGCCGTTTTTTTCTGCAAATGGCCGAGCGGGAGACCTCTGGTGTCTCCTCCTTTTCACGTAAGGACACCGGTCCCTTGGCATTGGGCCCCACCCTTATGACCTCATGTAGCCTGTGTTACCTCCTGAGACATCCTGTCTCCAAATGCAGTCACACTGGGGTTGGGGCTTCAACATAGGAGTTGTGAGGGGACACAGTTCAGTTCAGGGCTTCCTTGGTGGCTCAGCGGTAAAGAATCCGCCTGCCAATGCAGGAGACACGGGTTTGATCCCTGGGTTGGAAAGATCCCCTGGAGGAGGAAATGGCACCCCACTCCAGTATTCTTGTCTGGAGAATCCCATGGACAGAGGAGCCTAGAAAGTTATAGTCTGTGGGGTTGCAAAGAGCCGGACAGGACTGAGTGACTCAATAACGACAGAATTGGATCATTCCATGCCAAATTGATACATTGGAACTGGGCTTTCTGATTTTTCAGAGCAGGTTAGTTTTCACCTTAAGTGCCGCAGCTCTGAGGCACCGTGCGCCTTTTGCTTTAATAAGGCTGTCAGCAGCATGCAGTTGGCTGCCTCATGGACCTGTCACCATCAATAGGGGAGTTGAAGTCAGCTATTAGCAGGACTTCAGTGCAGAAGCCCTCTGGTCGGTGCCGTCAGAACAGCAGAGGCAGCAGCTAGCGAGACAAAATTTCAAGGAGGTGGACATAAAGGAAGAGTTCCATCACTGGCTGAATTTGTGGCAAGAGGTAAGAAGCTGGGAGGCAGCGTGAGGTGTTTGGGTTGAAGGGAGCATGGTGGGACAGGTGGAGAGCGGGCCTCAGGTACCTTGGGCAGCTGGCGGGCTGCGCGTCTCAGCCCGGGGAACTGAACTCTTCCTGGTTACAGAGGCTCTGCTCCCACGGTGGAAGTTCAGGGTGCAGGGTGGCTTTCAGAGAGAGAGGGTGGAGTGTGTATCCATGCGTGGCTGTGTAGGGATGCCGGAGCAGGGCTTCCTGGCTCTGTGGGTGCAGAGGGGAGGCAGCCCTGAAGTGTGGTCATCACACCCCAGGCGGAGGGTGGCCGGAGAGCTGGCTGGGTGCGTGGAGAATGGCCGGCGCTTGTCACCGCCTGCCGTCGTAAGGAGCTGTGATTTTATTTTGCATCCCAGGAGTCTTCATTTTCCAGGGGCCTTGTCCCAGCCTAGAGAGAGAGGCACGTTGCCCCGTCCTGCTTCACTAGGGTGGCCTGCTTGAATCTCATTTATCAGTATTTGAGCTTCTGTGCAGAATTCGCTTGATTATGTGAAGAAAGGTTTCTCTACCTTTTTTTTTCCCCCCACGTTATTGGAAAATGGGGAGCGTGATTGAAAAGTTTCAGGCAGACGAGTGTCTGCGTGCTGAGCCCACCCATAGAAGGAGGATGTGGGAGGGCGGGAGGGGTCAGGAGACATGGAGTAGCACTTTTAGACAGTTGGTGTGTGGAGGGTCAGGCGTACAGGTCCCCTAAGCAGCTGGGAAAAGGTGATGCTGTGGGGGAAGGTCTAGACTGGAGACGGAGGCAAGAGATGTGTTTGTTTTTTGAATGTCTTTAAAACCTTTATTTTGGCAAAAAAAAAAAAAAAAAGGTTATATAACAAAGACCCATTTACCCACCACCCAGAAAGAACAGATGTGAGCACAGTGGCGTCCTGTAAATACATAAACGCAGACGCGCATCAGAGCGAGTGCCAGCCCCTTCTCCTCCTCCAGGCCTCCCCGCTGTCCCTCCCCTGTTGGATGTTGGCTGTATCCAGTCCAGGCTTCATCCGTGTGTCTCAGATGCAGGATGCAGTGACAGTTTTTCATATTGTTTTGTGAGTTTAAACATTTCCAAAATGATATCATGGGGCAAATAACTTCATGCATTTTTTTGGGGGGGGAAATAAACCCCTGTGCTTTTTTTTTCGAAGATGTATCAGTGTTGCTCTGTGCAGATCTAGATGAGAATTCTTAGTACGTGAATCTACAGCATCTGGGCATTTTCTGGTTTTCTCTGGTACACAGAATGCTGCAGCGAGGCTCTTATCTGCACGTGCCAGTTTCCCAGGGGTCATAATGAGAAATGGGGTCATGTCATCGCTCAGGTGCCCCGCTCCTCAGCCTTGTCACTTATTGTCAGATGGCTCTTCTGTGCTGGCCGGAAGCCTGTGCTGACCTCCACGCCCATCGGCAGCGGCAGCAGTTTCTGGTTCTGCACATCCTAACCTTTGAATACCAATTTCTTGTAAATATCTTCTCCTAGTTTAGCACATCTTTTTAAAATTATTTTTTCTTTTCTTTAAGATACAATTTTAAAGCCTTTACTGAGAAATTTGAGACACTGTTTTAAGTGTGCTAATTCCCTATGTATCTTTTTTTTTTTTTGCAAAATTGATTACCTCAAGCATAAACCATCAGTATTTTCCTATGGGATTGCCATATGTTTTTACTATAACATTTATTCAAACAAAGGAAATTTATAATGCAACACATGTGTGATTTAAACACATACAGTTAAATCAAGTTTGATTTAAACGAGAAGTTTGAGCTTGGTGGCTCAGCGGTAAAGAAAACACCTGCCAATGTAGGGGACATTTGATCCCTAGGTAGGGAAGATCCCCTGGAGAAGGAAATGGCAACCCACTCCAGTTTTCTTGCCTGGAGAATCCCATGGACAGAGGAGCCTGGTGGGCTACAGTCCAGGGGGTCGCAAAGAGTTGGGCACGACTTAGCAACTAAACAACATGTAACTTGATATATTCACAACTAGCACTTAAAAAAATGTCATGTAGTACAGTTTTTCAGCCTTTTTATAATCTGTTTCTATTAAAAGTGCATTTGTATTCCAGTGTCATGAAGATTTTGTGTGTTCTCTTCTGAGGAAATTTTAAGCTTTTTAAAAAATATGGTGTGGGAGAGAAGTGTGGTTTTCCAAATGGAAGGCCAGTTGTCCCACCACCATTTGCTGCAGAGTGCCTCTTCAGTCGTACTGAGGCATCATGTACGGGGCGGGGTGGGGGGGGGGGAATACTTCTGGTGTTATTCTGTTTCGTTTGTGCATTTGTTTATCTCTGTTCCAAATTCATTTACAAATTGTTGCAAATGCTGTTCCTTTGGCCTGTCTCTTTATATCTGGTGGGTCTGGCTCCTCCTCCTTTTTCTTTCTTAAGCAGCCTGCTGTTCTTGGACCCTTACTGTTTATCAGGCTTCCCCGGGGGCTCAGCTGGTGAAGAATCCGCCTGCAGTGCGGGAGCCCTGGGTTCACTTCCTGGTTTGGGAAGATGCCCTGGAGAAGGGAAACGCTACCCGCTCCAGTATTCTGGCCTGGAGAATTCCACAGACTGTGTAGTCCAAGGGGTTGCAAAGAATCGATTGGACACGACTGAGCGACTTTCACTTTACTCTTTATCAATAAATTTTAGAATCAGTTTAAGTCCGTGAAAAAAAAATTTATAGATTAATTTGGGGGAAGACTTGGTATCTCAATGCATTGAATTTTCCTATCCATGAATATGGTATATGTATTTTATTATTTATTCCTGTCTCCTGTGTTTTTCAGTATTCATTAAAAAGCCCATACATAGCTTTTGTTAAATTTATTTTTAGGTACCTCTTTATGTTTTTATTGTGAATGTTTTTTGAAATTAAAATGTCCAATTATTGCCAGCATAGTAGGAATGCTGCTAGATTTTTTAAGTCATTTTTTTAATCTGACAGTCTTGCTGTCTGGTCTTATTTGTTCTGATTGCCTGCAGTTTCTTTTTAAGTTTTCTATGCAAGCTGTTGTATTAACTTTGGATAATGGTTATTTTGTCTCTTCCAATCCTAGTACTTCTTTTTTTTTCCTTGATCTGACTGTACTGGCTAGAACTCCTGTCAGTGACTAGAACTGGGGATGGCAGGTACTTTTGTCTTTTTGAATTTAAAAAGAATGGTTTTGGTGTTTCATGAGTGATTGCTATAGGCTTTTGTGGAAATGCCTTTTCAGGTTAATACAGTGTTTTTGTTTTCCTAGTTTACTAAGGAGGTTTTTAAAATTTTTTTTTTTTTCATTTATTTTTATTAGTTGGAGGCTAATTACTTTACATCATTGCAGTGGGTTTTGTCATACATTGAAATGAATTAGCCATGGATTTACATGTATTCCCCATCCCGGTCCCCCCTCCCACCTCCCTCTCCACCCGATCCCTCTGGGTCTTCCCAGTGCACCAGGCCCGAGCACTTGTCTCATGCACCCAACCTGGGCTGGTGATCTGTTTCACCCTAGATAATATACGTGTTTCGATGCTGTTCTCTTGAAACATCCCACCCTCGCCTTCTCCCAGAGTCCACAAGTCTGTTCTATACATCGGAGTCTCTTTTTCTGTTTTGCATATAGGGTTATCATTACCATCTTTCTAAATTCCATATATATGTGTTAGTATACTGTAATGGTCTTTATCTTTTAAAATTAAAAAAAAAATTATGAATGGATGTTGACACTAAGGCTTTTTGTGTATCTGTTGAGATGATTATGTGGTTGTGACATTTAAACTCCTAATATGATGCATTACATTGGTATGTTTTCTAATGTTTGAACAGTGTTTTATCATTCTTGAGATAAACCCTACATGGTTATGAAATATCAAGTACATGAATTGTATTTGCAAACATTTATTTGGGATTTTTGTATCAGTTTTCAAAAGTGAGATTAGTCTATAATTTTTTTGGTACTAGTTTTGTCTAGTTTGTGTATCAAAATTATACTGGCTTTAGAAAATGAGTTTGTTAGCTTTCTTTTCTGTCCTTCGAAACAGTTTATGTAAGTTAGGAATTATCCTTTGAAGGTTTAGTAAAATATATGACATTCTTTTGGGAAATACACTGAATATTTTTATTTTTTAAAATTACTGTTGGCTGTTAACTGCTGTAGCAAAGTTTGAAATACTGTGAGAATTACCAGCATGTAACACAGAGACATGAAGTGAGGAAATGTGGTTGGAAAAGTGGCGCTGTAGACTCGCTGGACTCAGGGTTGCCTGAAACCTTCAACTGGTGAAAAACTTAACAAAGCAAAGTGCAATAAAACCAGGTGTGTCTGTATGTTATTATGACCGAAGAGAGTTTAGACAGTGTAGAGCTCAAGTCTTTTTTTTTTTCTTCCACTGGACCAGTATCTGTCTTTTAGCTGGTGTGTTTCAACAACTTACATTTATATGAATTCCCTGGACGTCCAGTGGATAGGACTCCATGCTCTCACCGCCAAGGGCCTGGGTTTGATCCCTGGTCAGGGAACTAGGATCCCACAAGCTGTGCAGTGCGACCAAAAACAACAACAGAAAGGTCACTTACATTTACTGTGATTATTGATTAGTGCTTTTTATGTTTGTTCTTTCTGTTTTTCGTTTCTTTGTTCTGTTTCACCTAACTTTGTGTGGATTACTTTGAGTGTGTTTTAGAATTTCATTTTGACTTATCTGGGGGTGTTTTCGAGTGCTTTTCTTTGTGGTTTTTTAAAGTGGTTGCTCTAGCTCTTATGTGGGCTTTCCTCATAGCTCAGTTGGTAAAACTCTGCCTGCAATGCAGTAGACCCAGATTCTATCCCTGGGTTGAGAAGATCCCCTGGAGGAGGAAATGGCAACTCACTCCAGTATTCTTGCCTGGGAAATCCCAGGGACAGAGGAGACAGGCGGGCTGCAGTCCACGGGATCGCAAGAGTCAGATACAACCTAACGACGAAACCACCACCTAGCTCTTATGTATAGACAGCTTTTCTTAGTCTGCTTGTGTTAACATTTACTAGTTTTAGTGACATGTAGAATCTTTATCTACTATAAAGATAGGTCTCTTTACCCTTTCCACTTTCTGTTATAATTAAGATTTTACATTGAGAAACACATCAGCATTAACAATTTTTGCTCCAACTGTCAAACACTATTTAGCAAACACAAGAAGAGGAGGAAAGTGATTGTAATTGCCCATATTTTCACTCTTTTATTGTTCTTCTTGGTGTCCCAGGATTCCTTCTTTTATCATTTCTCCTCCTTGTATAGAGACCTTTCTTTAGCCATTCTTTTAGATTAGATATGTTAGTGACAAATTGTGTTAGTTTTTGTTCATCTGAGAATGTCTTGATTTGCTCTTCACCTTTGAAGGAAATTTTTCCTGAATATAGAATTCTTAGTGGACATTTCTCTCAGCAGTTGGAAATATGCAGTTTCCTTTTGGGCTCCCTGATTTCTGATGGCAGATTTGCTGGAGGTCTTCAGAATTTTCTGTTTGGTCTTTAGCTTTTAGATGTTTGACTATAATGTTTCTAGGTGTGGATTTCTTTGGGTTTATCCTCTTTGGGGTTTACTCAACCTTGAATCTGTAGGTTTCTTTCTTTCCTTTTTTTTGGTCAGATTTGACAAATTTTTTAACGCTGGTTTCTTTGGATGGTTTTTCAGCCCTCCTCCCTTTCTCCTGTTTGGGACTCAGGGTATGTGAATGTTACATCTGCCTTTGTCCAGTCCACATGTCCCGAAGGCCCTGCTCAGCTGTTTTTCAGAGTATTTTCTCTCCGTTGTTCAGATTGGGTAATTTCTGTTGTTACGTCTTCAAGTTCATTGGTTCGTTCCCCGTCCTTTTCTTCTTCCGGGCCAATATTGAGGTTTTATTTCAGGTACTGTTTTTTTTTTGGCTCTAAAATTTCTGTGTGGTTTTGTCTTTATATCTTCTGTCTTTGCTGTGACCTTCTTTTCTTTTTTGTTTCAGATGTGTTTGTATTGGCTCATTGAAATGTTCTGTGATGGCTCCTAAAATCCTATTTGCTAATTCTTTTATCTGTGTCATCTCAGTGTTGGCATTATTGGTCATCTTTTCTTTTTTCACTTGAGATATTCCTGGTTCCTGCTATGATGAGAGTTTTTTTTTTTTAATTGAAACCTGCACATTTTGGTTATTATATAATGAGATTCCAGATCTTACTTACCTCTTAGATTTTAGCAAGTCATTTCTGGTGTGTCCATGTGCAGTGCAGTGCTGCGCCCCGTGTTTACAGGCGGGCTGTTGGTTTCTGCAGGTGCCTCCTCAGTGTTGGCCCTCTGGACTCTTGTGGCCCCTTTCGCAGCCTCGCGGCCCAAACGGGCTCACTGCTTCTCACCCAAATGCCTTCTCTAGCTCGGTGCCCAGCACGTCCTGCAGGAAGTTCTGGTCCTTCAGATGTGCGCCACCGTTCGTAACCTGAAAGCGTTGAGGCTGGAAATGTGGCAGTGGGTTGGAGCGAGAATAGGAGGTGGGCAGAGTGACTTCTGTCCTCTTTCTTTTCTGCTTTTGAGGCTGTTACTTCAAGATGCCTTTCTGAGGAAAAGGATTAAAATTCACTCCCGTAGCTTTGTTGCTATTCTTCATTTGTGAATAAATTGGGGATTTCAGATAGTCTACCTTTAAAAAGTGATTACCAGTTTGTTTTGGAATAAATTTGATGAAGAGGAGTTTATAGGAATTCAGAATGTAACCAGGGGCTAGGAATTGAAATGGAAAATTGAATCTTTGTGAGGCTTTCCACATTAGATGTTAAATTCTGGAGTTAAGTTTTATATGATTATTTACTATCAAGTATATTTCTAAATATCAAGGTTAAGCTCTTATTAAAATATTTCCAAAAAGTCATTAATATTTTTACATAATGCAGTTGTTTGATTATTGTACTTTTCTTTTGTCAGATATTAGCAAACTCTTGGTTTTTCTTTTAATGAGAAGTCAGGTATTTTTTGTAACAAAACTAAAAATGTATTTTAAATCTGACATAGAGCTTTATGAATATGACTTGAGAGCATATAGTCATTTTTCAGTTTACTCCTTAAAATATTTTAAATTTTGTCTCTTTCTATATTGTATTTTAAAATTTGGAACCTATTTGGTAGTCCATGGGCATTTCATTTACTATCTTGAGGGATTTTTTTCAGATGAAACTGGGAATTTAATAATACAGCTTTTGTCAGCTTTGAAAGCAGATCAGCCAAGTTCTTTGGTGCCTTGCTGAAAATGATACTGGGACATAACAGCTTGTTTCTCTATTATCTTATGTACTCCTCGATAAGAGTCTTTGATGTGAGCACGCTTGACCCCAAATGAAACCCTAATGTTGAAATCTTACTTGCACATGCATAGGGGTTATGTCATCCTTTCTTGATCATTGGAACGAGCGTGTGTGGTGATGGACGCTTTGTGCTGTTTCCCCTCAGGTATCGCCATCAGGGAGTCGGCCAAGGTGGTGGACCAAGCCCAGAGGAGGGTACTGAGGGGAGTTGATGACCTGGACTTCTTCATCGGGGACGAAGCCATAGATAAACCCACATACGCCACCAAGGTAAACCCCTCTGAGCGCACAGACGCCATCGGGGTGAACCCCTCTGTAAGAGCGCCGCCGGGCAAGGGCAGCAGGACAGGCGATGCGAAGGGGCGCTTTGTGTGGAGATGGTGCTCGTGAGCGGCGGAGTGCATCTTTCTCTTCTGTTGGAAAAGAGGGTTTTTTTGTTGGTTTGACTCGGGTGTTTTTGATGTGGGCGAGCAGGTGAACTCACGCAGATGCAGAACTGACTCGGGATGCTGGACTGCGTAGGAAGCAAGGTCTGCCCCCATGGGATATTGCAGGTTGGCTGAATAACCGGCCAGATGTGGGAAGCTGTAGATTGATCAGTTGAAAAAGAAGCTCTAAAAATATTTACCCAGACATTTGTTCTAAAAAACCCCTACAAACTTCACAGATCAAATGGTGTGGTGGGTTAGCTGTACTTTCCCATCTGTTGCCTACCACGTTGTTAAGACGATTCTTTGTGCTTAGAAATGGCTGGAGTAGTACCCCAGTGTTCATCGCAGCACTGTTTATAATAGCCAGGACATGGAAGCAACCTAGATGCCCATCAGCAGACGAATGGATAAGGAAGCTGTGGTACATATACACCATGGAATATTACTCAGCCATTAAAAAGATTTCATTTGAATCAGTTCTAATGAGATGGATGAAACTGGAGCCCATTATACAGAGTGAAGTAAGCCAGAAAGATAAAGACCAATACAGTATATTAACGCATATATATGGAATTTAAAAAGATGGCAACGATAACCCTTTAAGCAAAACAGAAAAAGAGACGCAGATGTACAGAACAGACTTTTAGACTCTGTGGGAGAAGGTGAGGGTGGGATGTTCAGAGAGAACAGCATTGAAACAAGTATACTATCAAGGGTGAAACAGATCACCAGCCCAGGTTGGATGCATGAGACGGGTGCTCAGGGCTGGTGCACTGGGAAGACCCAGAGGGATGGGATGGGGAGGGAGACGGGAGTGGGGATCGGGATGGGAAACACATGTAAATCCATGGCTGATTCATGTTAATGTATGGCAAAAACCACTACAATATTGTAAAGTAATTAGCCTCCAACTAATAAAAATAAATGGAAAAAAAAAAAGAAATGGCTGGGGTAGAATATAAACAATGAGCTAATACAATCTTTCCGGTAAAATGCTTGTTACTTCTTTATGTTAATTAACATTCTCTCCATGCAAAGGGCCTATGTTCTCTAATAACTGCGTCTCTTCCATCTCTCCTGGGCCAGTGCCGTTATTAAACTGTTGCTCTTACTACTATGAACTGGATCTTGACGTGGTTTGGTTTCTCTTGCTTTAGTGGCCAATAAGACATGGAATAATTGAAGACTGGGATCTGATGGAAAGGTTCATGGAACAAGTGATTTTTAAATATCTTCGAGCTGAACCTGAGGATCATTATTTTTTAATGGTGAGTGACTGGAACTAAGAGGAATATGTCCCTGTAAATTCCAGGTTGCTTAGATTTTAAATCCAAGCTTCATTCTTCTCTGGGGAGCTTTAAGTTCCTGCTGAAGCTGTTTGTATGAATCGGGGTACTTTTTGGGTAAATGACAGAAGGGTCAGCAAAAATGTCTAGAACCAAAAGGGGCTTATTGTCTCACAAAATGGGAAGGCCAGATCGAGGCCGCTCCAGGGCCGGTTATTTCAGCAGCTCAGGGACGGGAGGCGCCGGCCGGCCTCGGCCGGCCTCAGGCAGTAGCTTGGCCTCTCCTGTTGGTCCCCCTCAGGCTGGGACGGCGGCCCAGGCTCCTGCACTGCCTCTTGGCGTGTTGGCTTTCGGCCATAGAAGTGCTTCCTAAGAAAGAAGAATCCCTTCCCAGAAACCTTCCTGGTAGATTTGCGCCATCCATCCATGCCTAACCTGGTCCCTTGCAAGGGGAGTGCAGTGACCTTCACAGGTGTGGGTTAACCAAGATTCTCCCTGGGGCTGATGAGGGGACCACGTCTGATCACCTGGCCCAGGAGGGCAGGTACGTAAATGGGCCTCCAGTGGCACCGAAAATGGAAATGGGGGAGGAATGGATTTGGGTGGGAAGCCAGCTGTGTACTCAGATGTCCTTCTGAAGTAAACGTACGACTATGATTTTGCTTCTTATATGGGAGGAAACTGAGTCAAAATGTTACTTTACCAGGATTTAAATCTTACTCTAAAATAAAATCGAGCTGAGTTCTGGGCCCTGATAGTGTGGTACTTAATTGATCTTGTTCAAACAAGATAAAACATGACAGAGAAATGAAAAGAAATCTCTCGTTATGGAATCTTTCCCAGTTGTTCTCCTCAACATCACATGTCCCCTTCCATGAAATGTTCTTTTTAAGTTAAAATTAATTGCACATAGAAAACACGTGCTTTATGGAAAGCAATTGCATGCAACATAAGTTGCACATTAAAACCTACATAATTTAGGTTTGGGTTTTTTCCATGCAAGTACATTGTCAAACGGTCCCTGGCCTAATTATATAGTTCTCGCTAATGTTAAATGTAGAATGTTCTTTAGAATTATCTGGCTTAAAATACATTAACTACAAAGACTATTACGGTAGTTGATGGAGTCTGTATATTTAATATCTGTTAGAGCAAGTCCTTGAAGGCACTCTGATCTTTTTTTCTGGCTATGTCACCACAGCTAGGAATTGTCGAGGGTGAGTAGCGTGTTTTACTGGCCATGTGTATTTTCTCTCCTGTGCATCTCAGTGGTTTATGTAAAAGAATTGGAGCCAGGAAGCTGACGGTGTGTCTGAGTGGCTTTATCTTTACAGCCAGAGCAAACCACAGATTCCCACCTGCCTCATTTGGCGTTTCCCCTCCTCTTGCACATCACGTAACTGCCTACCTGCTGGACAGGACTTTAGGGGAGGTGCCGCCCAGCAGCTTCCTTCTGTCTGCCCCAGCTTCCCTGCCAGAGGTCCCTTCTCCCTCCACTCAGGGGATGCCTGCTCTCAGCCTGGGGGGCAGATGCACACCGCTAGGACACAGCCTGCAGGAAACGTTTCCTACAAGAAACTTTTTCTGCTTGAGCCTGCATTAGCCTGGGAAGTGCCAGTGGTAAAGAACCCGCCCGCCAGCAAGGAGACACAGGACATGCAAGGTCGATCCCAGAGTCAGGAAGATCCCCTGGAGAAGAAAACGGCAACCTGGCAACCCACTCCAGTATTCTTGCCTGGGAAATGGCACGGACAGAGGAGCCTGGTGGGCTGCAGTCCACGGGGTCACAAAGAGACACGACTGAGCAGGCACACACGCACAGGATAAACCACGTTCTTGGAAGAAATGGGAGGTGTTTCATATGAATATGGAAAAGTTCATCGGCCAAAAATGAACATTCAAAAATAACCCAGTTTATTAAAGGTCAGAAAATACTGTGTTCCGCGTACTGTGCTTTGAACCTTCCAGATCAGTTCGTTGCACAGTGTGACCGAGGAGGTAACGAGAAGGTACACGTCTTTCAAGTTTATGCCCCCATCCTCTCCGTTAATGGGGAAGTTCCGGGGGGTGAAGCTGGTGTAGAGCGATGTGTGGTCAAGTCTGAAAGTCAGCTGAAGACATTTACAAAACTGTGGCATCAGATGAGGGCTTCTTGGGATAAGAGAAGCCAATGGGGTTAAATAAAAGGTCCTCAGTCACCCCCCAAATTGTTCTTTCTGGCTGCGGTGACCAGATGTCTGGACAGTGTGAGAATGATCTCATCACGGCTCATGTTTTTCAAAACATTTCAGAGACTCCGCTCCTATCGGTCATGTGGATTGAGCAGACAGCAAATGGGAGTCCTGCCCTTTTTTCCCAACACTTATTTGCCCAGAGCTCAAAACAGAGTCGTGTGTGTTAGAACCTTGGGGTGCTCTTGAGTGGGAATTGAGTTATCACGTTAGAGTGATTTGCAGACTTTCTGAATATGCACCAAGGAGGAGGAGCACGCAGCATGAATGCCCGAGAAGCAGGAGCAGCAGGAAAGATGGACATGCCAGCTCAGAGAACCACCCTTCCTTTGTGTTTTTCTTCCCTGGGGGCCTCAGTGGCCCGGGTGATGCCTGCCCCCGTGGGTGAAGGCGCGTGTCTCTACTCAGTTCTGACTGCTAAACTCTCCCTGAGACACCTCACAGACACACCCAGAAGTGATGCTGTACCAGCTCTCCAGCATCCCTCACGCTGCCTGTGATCGTGTGTGTCCTGACCCTCCGTGGTGGTTCCCTTCCTGACTCTTCAGAGTGATGTGGACCCACTCTGTCCAGCGTGGTGGTCACCAGCCAGAGTGGAGGTGGATGGCCCCGGGTTCGCGCGGTCCCACCCCGACCATGTGCTTTCCACCTTCCAGCGCCTTGTCATCTCCTCTCCTGTTCTCCCTGCCTTGAGGATTTATACTTTTAAAAAGGTTTCTTCACTGCAGTTATAGAGAGTCTTGGGGGTGGAGCAGTATTAGGCCCATGTGTTCAGTTTGCTGTCTTCATCCAGAAATGTGGATTGGTTTTATGGTACTGATTAATTCACTCATTTTGAATTAATGCCAGATGATGTGTCACCATTATTAATGAATAAATGTGTGTGTAACTTGTGTTCATGTGACATTTTAATCATGTTTCAGTACTAAAAAAATACGAATTTGATATCTCCAGTTTAGATCTTATAATAAATAATGGTTTGGGAAAGCTTCATTTAGATTGGTGTCCTAAAAGGAACAGTTACAAGTGGTAAACATAAAGGAAATGGAGGATTGAGAAAAAATGGATTTATGATTATGGTTTTCAGAACCCATGAGAATTTGCCCTTAATAATGCTGAATTTAATTTGGGAACCAGGAGAACCTAATTATATTGAAAACATTACCTTAAATGGAAGTATACAGATTTTAAGGTAAATTCTTCCCAGATGGTGAATTGTTTGGTAGCAAGTAATTAGTGTAAAATGCAGTGGTTTAAGCGAGTTAAGGGTTCTGTTTTTCTTAAATACATTTGTAGTAAGCAAGATGTACACACATCTCCTTGTGTCATTAGAGATCTGTTGAGCACATGGCTTCCATTCGAAGGTTACTTTATGATCACAGATTCACTGCTGCAGCTCCAGTCATCCCCTCTGCATTCCAGGAAGGTGTTAAGAGCAGCAGAAGGGATTCTACTACTTGAGTCTCCCTTCAACCTTGTAAGGAGCTCTCCTAGAAGCAACATCCACCAGCTTTAGCTTCTTTTTGGCCAGAACTTACTCACTTAGCCATCCCTGTCCAGAAAGAAGTCTGGGAAATGCTTTTCCTCTGGGCCCATGATTGATCAGTGGTCCGTCATTAAAGCAGAAGGGAGACTAGGTGCTGGGTAGCGAACTCACAGTGCCTGCCGTAATGATGTGACTGTGGGCACGAAGACAGTGGCAAGACAAGATCCCATTCAGCGTCTTAACACTCTGGCTGGGTGTGGAGAGGTCGCTGTGCTGGGAGCCAGCAGGCCACTTCCTCTGCTTTGCTCGCCGCCCAGCCTCTGTGAGCCTTTTTTTTTGGTCTGGATAAATACATCAGACAGCTGTACTGGGAGTTTCTGTGCAACTTTGCACACAAGCTGTAACCCCAGATTTCACAACACTTGTAAAGATTTTTTAGTATAGGACTGTAAGTGTGAATTAGAAAATTTGGAAGATATCTGGGACTTTTCACACCCCTATGCCATTAACATACATTTTAATTTTAGCATATCTTCATTTAATCTTTTCACTGTGTTTTTACATGTTTTTGCATCAATATTGTGTTTTCCATCCCTCTCCCCCCATGAGAGGAGAGGTTTTCGTAATCCTCATTTTTGTGGCTATATAATCCTCTATCCAGTGAATATTTCCTGTCTGTTTAGCACTTCCACTATTTTTAGATGTTTACTTTTGCTTCCAATTTCTTGGTTTTATAAGAAGTAATATGAAGTAATCTTTGCATAGTTTTTTCTATATTTAGAACACTTTCTATGTTAAAAATATTAAAGTTATGTATTAATATGATTTTGGGGTCCAGAAGTATTAATAATTTTGAATCTTTAGCATACCATTTCATACTGAAATCTTCAGTGTACAAGAAACCACATTATTTGAACTCTTGTCAGAATTGGATTAATAGTTTTGACTATTTGCCATTACTTTCCATTTTTAATCACTTGGACCTTAAACTTTTTTTCGTATGTTAGTTGTCCTTCCTCTTTTGTGAATTGCCTGTTCATGTCCTGTGCTGTGTTTTTACATATCAGTGTTCTATTACTTTTCCTATTGCTGTGATTTCTGTGTACTTTTTTTTTCCATTTATTTTTATTAGTTGAAGGCTAATTACTTTACAACATTGCAGTGGTTTTTGTCATACATTGAAATGAATTAGCCATGGATTTACATGTGAACTTTTTTTTTTTAACCTAAAAGTTTTTTTTTAATGTGTTAGTCACTCAATCGCA